GTTCTGGCTCTTTGGTCCCCGCCTCTCATCTGTCAATCAACTAATGTACAGGTTCCTGAGCCTATTTGGCTCTTCATATCTACACTTGAAGCTGTGTATGGAGTCAGCGCCCTCCGCATCACTTCTTAATGCATTCCATTTGTCTACTACTCTAACACTGAAAATATTCTTTCTAACGTCTCTATGACTCATGTGGGCACTCAATTTCCACCTGTGTCCTCTAGTGCGTGTGCCCCTTGTGTTAAATAATCTGTCTTTATCTACCCTATCAATTCCTCTGAGAATCTTGTACGTAGTCATCATGTCCCTCCGAACTCTTTTGTCTCCCAGTGACGTGAGGTTTAATTCTCCTGGTCTCTACTCGTACTTCCACCACCACGATCAGTCACAAACACCACGACCAATCACCACCACGACCAGTCATCACCAACACGGGGACTCGCTGCCGGCGCCATTCCTAGCGGCCGCACACGGTGTTGCTCTCTGGAAAACCTCAAATTCTGAGCACCCATCAGCACAAATGAAATCAACGCGATTTTGCGAGGAAGAATACATCATTACTCCAACACCCAGAGAATATCTTGTTTGGAAGGAAACAATACCGAGTTCGTCTACAGTTGATGACAAATAACAACCCGTTCTCGCAAATTTAATAAGTCAATATTGACTTATTAAATATGTGCATAGGTGACATACTTAACATAATAGATACCCTTAAAAAGATTCATAGAAAACACCGACCTTACCTAACCTACTTAGTATGTTAAGATAAGCATCTTATTGCTTCGTAATTACAATTATTACCTAACCTATAATAGGTATAGGTTAAGTAATAATTGTAATTACGAAGCAATAAGATGCTTATCTTAAGATACTAACAAGGTTAGGTAAGGTTGGTGTTTCCTATGAATCTTTTTAAGGGTATCTATTATGTTTAGTATATCACCTATGCACGTAGTTAATAAGTCAATATTGACTTTACGAATATGCGAGAACGGGTTGCAAATAACGTTGTTGATTAGCTGCTGTCCAGCTGACTGGTATTCTGCGCAACCCAGTACGCAGGCGACCCAAACTGTCGTACCACACTCGTCGCCCATGACCGATTTTTTTTGAGAACCATATCACTGACCACGTCACTTAGAGTCCTACCCTGAAGGGCGAGGTAATACCCTGTGGGCATCACCAAAATGGGGTACCTTTGAAGGTGTACTGAGCTTGACAGGGAAAGGTGGACCAAACTGTTTAATTATGTGTTAGGTATCCTTAATTCCACTTGGAAGAATCATTTTACGGCCTCCTTTGGAGAGGAAAGAATTTCTCCAGGCCTAGGAGTGTCTCAGGCATTAGGTAGGGCAGTGAATTGGCTCCACTACGTGGAGATGTCATGCGAAAATCAAAGAGAAAGAGGCAATAAAGGCAGCTTTCAGACAAGGAGGCACAGTGGACTGAGGTGCAGCAGGCACCCAAGAAAACTGCTATCGAGGCTTCACCACTTGGTTCGACCAGCAAGACACCAGACATAATGGACCTAGAAAGGACAGCACCAGCAAGGAAAGGTCACACACTAGCCGGTGTCAAACAATGTACCTCTCCACACAGCCCAGCCACACGACAACAGTATGAGACAGGAGAGGACACTACCAGTCTCACACCAGACATCGTCAGACTATACACATCTTCCAAAATTCAAGTTACTGCAGACAGACCACTTTCCTACAGCATATGGAGTAGTAACGGCAATGGAAAAGCAACAACCAGCGTTCAAACTTTCCATCACAGTCAACCTGAAAGGAGAAATTTTAAGACCCATATTACAGGATTTTTAAATGTTGTTTACTGTCAACCAAACTTTTTGTACTAGTTGTATATAAGAAGGGTTGCAATTGTTTTAGGTTTCAGTATCGCACCCTAACTATTATTATTTTTTTTCCAACGAATTTTACACATTTTCAATAAATTTCACAAACCACATGTTTCAAATTAAATCATTTATATGACACTCATCTAATACAATAGCATATAATAAAGGATTTGTATTGAAAGGATTATCCAAAATATGTTTAGTTTTACTAATACAAGTAGCCAAAGTTCCCCAAAAATATATGCCAATATTTCATGTTTGAAAATTATGTATAAAACCAATAAATGAACCTAAGAAAAAAGTGCTTTTACAAGTTTGTAGAGAAGTTAACTCTACATATAAGATGTAAATTTCATGTAAATTGAAAACAAAATGAAAGCTGTGAAGTAATTTTATGTTAATTGACAATATAATAGATTCTGCTTCTTGTGGTTGAAGTTGACATGGTTGAAGTTGACTTCAACCAATTTCTTCTAAAATTTGCATACTTACAGATATTCGTATGTTCTGTAAGGTGTATAAGTTTCATGCAAATCGGCTAATAAAAAAATATGAAAAAAAATCGTGAAAAAAAACATCTACTATTTAGTTTTTTTAATTTTGTTTTTAGCATAAAACTAAATATTAAAATACTTTATTATATGCTATTGTGATAGCATGGTCATAGACATGATTTCAGGATTTCAGTTGACACTTTTGTTTGATGTTAATTTTTAACCATTTTGGAAAATTTTCAACACATAATTCATTTTTTTTCTCTCTCTTCCTATTTATGCTACGATGCTGAGACTTGGGCCAGTTGAAACAAATTTTACATACTACTGGTCAAAAAAGTTTGACTGAAATCGAACCAGTTTTCATTTACCTCATTATTCAGTAATATGCCCCTTGACACTCCTAGACCACCAGACTGCAAATTACTTAGAAAAGTTATCAGTCCTGCAAGGGGAACCTGTATGCGTGGAAAAGTTGGACCCTTCAAAAAGATGCACATGAGTCGTGCTTTTCAGATACCCTATCAACTTTCCACTGGATCCAGTACTAGAACATAAGCAAATCCTGAATACGGAACAACAACGCACAAACGTAGACAAAGCAGCGACATGTCAGGTTCTGGTGACCGTCATGGGACATGTGCCAGAAACATTCAGTCGTGGAAATTGAAGAATATACGGACAGAGACCATACGTCCCGGAACCCCTGCGCTGCTACAGATGTCAGAAATACGGCCACCATCAGTCACGCTGCACCGGACAGGAGAGATGCGGAGTGTGCAGCCTGAGACATCCAACCAAAGACAGTATAGCCAACCACAAGGGAAACCAAACCACAACAGCCAAATGTTCAAATTGTGGAGGCAAACATCATGCCTGGAGCACAACCTGCTCTGCACGGAAAGAAAAGGTGCAGACAGCTCAGGCCAGGATAAACACAAAGACCAGCACTACATACACCAACACCACCGTCTGGAACACTCGTGCACAGCTACAACACACTCACTCTCACAGAACAAAATTTCTAGAATCTATTAATTTCAAGTCAGAAAATACACAAAAATGCTGCAGAAATAGAGCAACAGCAAAAACGCACAAAAAATTATTTTCGGATTCAGCAAAACAAATTTACAGTTTTACCAAGGTTTAGAAAACTCTAAAAACATTTAGAGTTTTTGTCAAATTCTAAATGAACATAGTAGTCTTGGCAAGATATGGGACTAGATTAAAACTATATCAGGTCGACCAACCCGACTACAGGCATGTATTGAACCATTGCAGCAGGCTGAGAGACTTGCTCTCCAATTTGCCGAAGAGCAGCTTCATATCATCTTCCTGCAATGATCAAAAGGTATAAAGAACAATTAAAACAAGAGAGGTTGGCAACCACTCATGAAAGCATAGCTACAAATGACGAATGTGACTGTCCCTTCACCAAACAAGAACTAATCAGAGTAAAAAAAGATAGTAAGGACACTGCACCAGGTGCTGATAACATTACATACTCAATGATCGCACACACAGGTCCTGCTGGAGAACAAGGGATATTGGACGTTATCAATGCATCTTGGCAGCAAGGCAAACTACCGACCTCTTGGGAGAAAGCAGACATCATTCCGATTCCTAAGCCGAAAGAACCTAACAATTACAGACCCATTTCATTAACATCATTCATTAGTAAAACTACAGCACGGATGGTCTTAAATAGGCTACTGTGGAAGACTGGAGACCTGCATAAAGACATATTTGGCTTCACAAGAGGAGTAGGTACTGCCAACTGCATAGCAACATTACTAGGAACAGTTAACTTAGGTTTGACTATAGTAATCTTCCTTGATGTAGAAAAAGCATTCAAACATGCAAGCCAGCAAGCAATTTTACACACCTTAGTTAAAAAAGGTGTAAAGGGAAATATGCTAGCATGGATTCAAGATTACCTTAGTCACAGGTATGCCAGAATAAAGTTGCAAGGACAAGTGTCGGACTACCACTTGCATGAGAAAGGGACTCCACAAGGACGAGTCCTCAGTCCTAGTCTTATTAACATCCTTGTGGACAAAATTGTTACCATGACATTTGCAGAATGGGTTAAACCACGACCAGTCACCACCACCATGACCAGTCACAATCACCCGACTAGTCACACCACCACGACCAGTCACCACCACCATGACCAGTCACCACCACCATGACCAGTCACCACCACCATGACCAGTCACCACCACCACGACCAGTCACCACCACCACGACCAGTCATAACCACCTTGACCAGTCACCACCACCATGCCCAGTCACCACCACCATGACCAGTCACCACCACCACGACCAGTCATGACCAGTCACACCACCACCACGACCAGTCACCACCACCATGACCAGTCACCACCACCATGACCAGTCACCACCACCATGACCAGTCACCACCACCACGACCAGTCACCACCACCATACCAGTCACCACCACCATGACCAGTCACCACCACCATGACCAGTCACCACCACCATGACCAGTCACACCACCACGACCAGTCACCACCACCATGACCAGTCACCACCACCATGACCAGTCACCACCACCATGACCAGTCACCACCACCACGACCAGTCACCACCACCATTACCAGTCACCATCACCCGACTAGTCACACCACCATGACCAGTCACCACCACCACGACCAGTCACCACCACCACGACCAGTCATAACCACCTTAACTAGTCATAACCACCACGACCAATCCCAACCACCACAACCAGTCACTACCACCACGACCAATCACCTTCACCACTATGATCGATCACTATTACAATCAGTCACTACCACCATGACCCATCAACCTCACCACCACGACCAATCACTGCTACAACCAGTCACTACCACCACGACCAATCACATTCACCACCACCACCACGACCAGTCACCACTACAACCACTACCAGTCACCACCACCACGACCAGTCACCACCACCAGACACAACCACCACCACCACCACGACCAGTTACCACCACAACCACTATTAGTCACCACCACCACGACCAGTCACCACCACAACCACTACCAGTCACCACCACCACGACCAGTCACCACCACCACCACCACGACCAGTTACCACCACAACCACTGCCAGTCACCACCACCACCACCACGACCAGCACCACCACAACCACTACCAGTCACCACCACCACGACCAGTCACCACCCCAACCACCAGACACCACTACCACCACGACCACGACCAGTTACCATCACAACTACTACTAGTCACCACCACCACGACCAGTCACCACCACCACGACCAGTCACCACCACAACCACTACCAGTCACCACCACCACGACCAGTCACCACCACAACTACTACCAGTTATCTCCAATACCACGACCAGTCACCCCACAACCACTACCAGTCACCACCACAACCACGAAGTTTCCTCCACAACCACTACCAGTCACCACCACCACGACCAGTCACCACAACCACTACCAGTCACCATCACAACCACTACCAGTCACCACCACCACTACAGTCACTACAACCACTACCAGTCACCACCACTACCAGTCACCACCACCACGACCAGTCACCACCACAACCACTACCAGTCACCACCACAACCACTACCAGTCACCACCACAACCACTACCAGTCATCACCACCACTACAGTCACCACAACCACTACCAGTCACCACCACCACTACAGTCACCACAACCACTACCAGTCACCACCACAACCACTACCAATCACCACCACCACGACCAGTCACCACAACCACAACCAGTCACCACCGCAACCACTACCAGTCACCACCACAACCCCTACCAGTCACCACCACAACCACTACCAGTCACCACCACAACCACTACCAGTCACCACCACAACCACTACCAGTCACCACCACAACCACTACCAGTCACCACCACAACCACTACCAGTCACCACCACAACCACTACCAGTCACCACCGCAACCACTACCAGTCACCACCACAACCACTACCAGTCACCACCACCACGACCACTCACCACCACAACCACTACCAGTCACCACCACAACCACTACCAGTCACCACCACCACGACCAGTCAAGACCACAACCAGTCACCACCACCACGACCAGTCACCACCACAACCACTACCAGTCACCACCACCACGACCAGTCACCACCACAACCACTACCAGTCACCACCACCACGACCAGTCACCACCACAACCACTACCAGTCACCACCACAACCACTACCAGTCACCACCACAACCACTACCAGTCACCACCACCACGACCAGTCACGACCACAACCAGTCACCACCACCACGACCAGCCACCACCACAACCACTACCAGTCACCACCACCACTACCAGTTACCTCTACAACCACTACCAGTCAATACCACAACCACTACCAGTCACCACCACAACCACGACCAGTCACCACCACAACCACGAACAGTTACCTCCACAACCACTACCAGTCACCACCACAACCACTACCCAGTCACCACCACAACCACGACCAGTCACCACCACAACCACGAACAGTTACCTCCACAACCACTAGCAGTCACCACCACAACCACTACCAGTTATTTCCAATACCACGACCAGTCACCCCACAACCACTACCAGTCACCACCACAACCACGAAGTTTCCTCCACAACCACTACCAGTCACCACCACCACGACCAGTCACCACAACCACTACCAGTCACCATCACAACCACTACCAGTCACCACCACCACTACAGTCACTACAACCACTACCAGTCACCACCACAACCACTACCAGTCACCACCACAACCACTACCAGTCACCACCACAACCACTACCAGTCACCACCACAACGACTACCATTCACCACCACAACCACTACCAGTCATCACCACCACTACAGTCACTCCAACTACTACCAGTCACCACCACCACTACAGTCACCACAACCACTACCAGTCACCACCACAACCACTACCAATCACCACCACCACGACCAGTCACCACAACCACAACCAGTCACACCACCGCAACCACTACCAGTCACCACCACAACCCCTACCAGTCACCACTACAACCACTACCAGTCACCACCACAACCACTACCAGTCACCACCACCATGACCAGTCACCACCGCAACCACTACCAGTCACCACCACCACGACCAGTCACCACCACAACCACTACCAGTCACCACCACCACGACCAGTCACCACCACCACCAAGACCAGTCACCACCACAACCACTACCAGTCACCACCACTGTAACCCGGGTTAGGGTTTCTCTCTCTACTTCTCTTCCTTCTTTGCCCTCTACCCGTATTCTTACTTTTTATTCTCTACCAAGGGACTCCAAAATATTTACCAAAGCCAACTCCACGCCACGTGGTCCTAAGACGATTGACCGACTTAGGATTCTACACCCAGTGTGACGTGACCTAGGCTTTGAGCAAAACCCTAGAATCGCCTCTACGCTGCCACCACCAGACCAGCAACACCGAGCAATGATCGAGGTCTGGATCGATCACGCTAATTAATCAACCTTGGGGCTTGATCCCCACTATAACCGATGACCGTGGAAACTTAAGAGTGTGAGATTAATTACACGGGAATGATTCGATGTTAGAATCGATGTTAGAATCGGCGCCCAATCCAACTCTGCCTCGTGTGGACCACGTGACCAGGACAAGTATACACATAACCAAATGGAAACAATAAAAATGCAAAATACTAACAATTTTAATTTATTAAAAGAAAAACTAAAACAACATCTAAATATGTTCACTCCCTGTCACTTTAACACTCCCTACTTGACCTGACTGGCAATGAGACTACCTCTATAAATAACCATAGCAACTATACCTTGGGCAACCAGCTAAAGATGTTGGGCTGGTCTTGGGGAGAGGTAAGATGGTTGGCCTCTCCCAGTTGCTCCTGTTTCCACACTGCTCTCTTCCTTGTCTGGTCTACCCCAGACAGAGTATTGTATCCTTCCGCCTAGTCAAAGTTCTACCCAGTTACTAGCAAGGTTTAAGTTATAACAATTAACCTCTGTTTGTACTGAATTGATCCAGACTGGTTGAATTATTTTACTGAAATTAAATTACACAAACATCTAACGGCAGAGCTGTTCCCGATCCCCCAAAATGGTTAATTGAACTTTGAGAAATAGTAGACCTGTCAACCCTGATGACCTATGACCGCCGGTCACTCCGCCTTACAAGTTAGATCTGATTCGTGACGTCACTGATGGTGACTTAAACTCAATAATTAGAATACTCTTGATATTGTATCCAGTACTATTATACAATACAATTTTAATGCAAAATGAATGAAGGCTAATTTATCTAAATTACTGAATACTATAGGATGGTTCATTATACGCAGCTTATGAACAAAGCGTCGGTTATTTCCACCGCGAATTCCCCTGGGGTCAGGTTCCCAGGTCACCATGCGGGCCCAGCTTCCCATTCTCTTTTGTCGATAAACCACTCTGGATAATTCTTACAACAGCCTAGTTTGTTACAACCCCCCCCCCCCCGCACAAGCACTTAGTAAACCTTGTTAATTTGTTAAAAATCACGAGGTTTAGTATCCAAACCCACAATTCAACTCATGACACAAACAAAAGCTAACCTAACTAATAAAATTTGACAAATAATAGTCCAACATCATAATAAACATGTTCATATTTTTCTCAGCTGTCAACTGACAGCAATCCTCCAACATCAGGAAACATACATCCTATCCTTACTGACATAGCTAAATAACATGTCCCTACTCTACCATCAAAGACTAGCTATTAAACTCTCTTGGCTCTTCACTAGCCAAGTCCATGTGTCCTCTAGAGCCGGCCACACCGTGCTCAAACATAAACATTAAAGTTATAACTTCAGACTGAACTTTCAGTCATCCGGGAGCGTACTACGGAACTATCAAGTTCACATCCGTGTACTGACCACTCCCCACTCAATGTCAACCTTGACATGTTAAGGAACACACCTAATGTTTATTACATGTATCTAAAAATATAAAAAAAATTCCTATACTATATCACAGGTTTCAGCTGACTGTACAGCCAAGTGTTCCCACTCACTAGAAGTGTCAATGTTTATATTGGTCCGCCTCTCCTGTGTTCAAACATTCTGCAAAAGTATCACAACATAATTTTCCATAACCGTTTGTTCTGGGCTGAGACAATTACACAGGGGCTTCGATTTCGATTACTGACCAATTTATAGAGTAAAATTTTCATATATTATACCAGAATTATTTAAAATCTGTTTTTCAACATTTAAACAAAAGTGTCCAGATATTCTTTACACAGATGTTCAGAACCACTTTGTTGTTTGTATCAATTGTTCATATTGAGTAATCGAGAAAAAAAAAATCGATGCTGCTGGATGCTGAATGTAGTCGCTGACGATGACGGTGTCGATCTTGCTTCTCCCCATGTGTAGACATCAATACCTGGTCCTCTTGTACTCCCATCCGGTACTCCTGAATGACGACAGAGTGTAGTAGAGCGGAGTGCCAAGTGACAGCTGTAGAATACTGTTACTTCGGCCATTAATCTTGCTCTCGACAGTCCACACGCCTTCGTATCAATCACAGTTCACACGGCAGTCTTGATGTTAAACTTGACGGCGCAGATGACCACAGCAGAGCAGGACTGGATGTACCAACAGTGTCTCTTAGCAGGAGTGGTGTCAGAAGGTCGCAGAGGCGGGTTGCTTGTTTGCAGAACAGGTGAATCTCGTCTTCCATCATTGCTCACGTCATCTCAGGCGTTTCTTGATGTCACCAGGTTACTAGGCCGTAAACACCAACTGTGTATACCCTCGTACCGCCGACTTTAGGCCAAAGGAAACAATTTTGCGACCTTCTATTGGCGAGTCCCGGTACTCTGTAGGGAAACCGTGCCTTCCACCTGTGACCGCCTTACTTCTGCTTTCTTGTTACTTCAGATGACGTAATCATTAATCTTCCGGCGAAATTCTTAAGTACTGCTACGTGCTTTCCATTTCTTGACCTCTCCTCCAACACTGCTGGAATGGCTGCAGTCTTGATGACGCAGCAGGTGGGTAGTGGTGATCTCGAGACAGCTACCCCGGCGTTGTATGGCACCTCCGATGACTGCTATAATGTGGACAGCTCGCTGGCCCTGACAACCTCGTTAGTGACGTGAGGCCTCGGCCGGGTGACTCTTGGACAGTCACTTATCCCCAAAGTAACTGATGTATGGGTTACTGGGTCTGGTGGGGGGAGGGCTTTGTGTAACGTGCCTCCCCCCTCGGTCTTTACAGACAAGGGTTCATGTGTGGCTGGAACAACTGGGTCGGTGTACCAATCAGACCTGGGAACAGACAGACACAACACAGCGGAAGCATAGATATACTCTGGGTTTGGTGGAGGTGGAACCCCAGAGCACGGTAAAAGCTGCTACCTGAGTTAAGTATAGACATAGTACACCTCATTGCCTTTACAGGAAAATCTAATGAATACTAAATTATACTAACCAAGGAAGTTACTCTACTGTACAGCGCGAGAT